GCATTGTCCGTATAAAGGCCTATTGCTTTGCACTCCTTGGTTTGGGTTTTTTCTGCAGGAGGTGATTTGTACAGTCTCTTGTGTCAGGCTACCCTTGTGCCCTTGGGATTTAACGTTAATGTTGGCCATCTTGCAGAAGCAGCTGTTTGAAAGTTACACTAGTCCTTTTGACTCGAAAGGTGTTTTTTTTTTTTTTTTTTTCTTTAATTGCAATCACTTTGGCAAGATGGGTCAGGCTGAATGCTCTTTCTTGCAAGGAGCCATTTTTAATCTTGCATCATGGTAAAGTGGTGTTGCGCCCTCATCCATTCTTCTTGTCTAAAATGGTTTCTAGCTTTCAATTAAATCCAGACATTGTCCTACTCCTTTGTTTTTTTTTTTTTCCGAATCCTCATTCACCAGGAGAGAAATTGCTGCATTCTTTCGATGTAGTGCGAGCCGTCAAAAGTCTATCTGGAAAGGTTGGCACAAATCAGAAGGTCTGATTCCTTGTTTGTGCTACCAGAAAGGCCCTGGAAAGGGCAAGTGGCATCCAAGGCAACTATTTCTCAATTGGATCTGCCAGTTAGTCATTCAAGCCTCTGGTTTCAAGGACAAGGTCCCACCCTTTCAGGTAAGAGCGCACTCTACCAGAAGTTTGAGAGCCTCTTAGGCAATTTGCCATCAGGCGTTGGTGCAAGGCTGCTACCTGGTCTTCAATGCATACATTCACAAGGTTCTACCAAGTGGATGATAGAGCTACAGAGGATGCTGCTTTTGGCCGCAGTGTTACAGGCGGTGGAATAGGTCCTTGGGCTGATAATGGTGTCTCCCCTCAAATGCATTGCTTTGGGACATCCCAGATTGTAATTATTCTAGCCTGCTGTGTGTCCTGTGATGTACGATAAAGAAAATGGGATTTTTTTTCTACATACTTACCTGTAAAAATCCTTTTCTTGCAGTACATCACGGGACACAGAGGTCCCTCCCCTCTTTCTGGAGTTCATTGCTTGCTACAAAACTGAGGTACTCCTTGTGTAGGAGGGGTTGTATGGGGGAGGACTTCCTGTCTGTGTTTTTTTTGTCTGCCAGTGTCCATTGGCGCATAACCCATATAGTAATGATTTATAGCCTGTTCTGTGTCCAGTAATGTATGCCAATAAATGTATTTTACATTTACTGTAAGTATGTAGAAGAAATTGCAATTATTGTAGCTGTAGGTCAATTTTAATTCTCCATTGACTCCAGTTTATTTGTTGTTCATAGTGCTGTGTGTTCTAATTTTTATGCCTTTTAAGGTATATCCTTCAAACATACTTTTTTGTATGGTTGTAATTGTCCCCCAACTATCCATGACGCCCAATTTTGTTGTTGACCTCTTTTACTAATACTGGCACCAATGTGGTTGTGGCTTGTGTAACGTGATATCTTCTTCCTACAGTAGTTTACATAGGAATTGATTCATAAACTGTAGGTTATATACCGCTGCTTTCAGGTGGTGGGGCACTGGCAAATGTCTTCACTGTGTCTGCCCCGTGTTACACCCATGTAAACCCATCCACTCTGTGAAGCTTCACTTTTTTTTTTTTTTTTTTTGCTAGTGTCCTTAACCTCTCAGCGCCAGCAGTATGCATATATGTGGCCCTGTTAATTAATACTACTTACTGTACTGAGAGCTCGTTCCCTGCACATTTCTGCCACGGCGAGGGATAAGTAAGCTCCCGATGCATACTTGCGAGTTCCTGGCTTGATGGCTCTTTAGCATACATTTCATCTTCAATATACAAAATGTTCCACAGCGCCATGCATACAAACGTAGGAGGATTTGCACTTCTATTTTTTTCCAAATGTTGTATTGTCTTTCTACTCGGCTTTACTTGTAGTTTTTATAGTGTTTTACCTGTTCAAATTTGGTGGACTTTTTTTTTTTTTTTTTTTAATTTCCTCCAAACTTAATGATTGGAAATTCCCCTCTGGTGGTGACATAACTAGACTCTTAACTTAGCACTTCTGGTCATTATTTTCTGCCGACACCACAAGCTGATCACTTGCTCTTTCATCTGCTGTTTGATTCATCATACACACAGCTATGGACCTCAGTTAGCTCATGGGTGGTTGTGATTCCCTCATATCGGACACCATAAACTCCCTTAATCCACTTCCATTCTTTGAGTACCCTGCAGGGGAGGACCCTCATTTGGCAATAGATGATTGCAGGTGCTTGGAAACGAGAACACATGAGACAAGACTACAGCAGGTCCACTAGGGTCCCTGAGAAAACACCAAGTTCCTCTCATGTCAATAGTTGTTTCCCTGTTCTGGAGCAGGGTCTTTCACCAACATTGCTAAAATGCCCTGACTCAAGATCCTTTATATGGAATCAACATGTGGCCTGTTTAAGGCAGAATTTTTCTGCCTTTTTTCCTCCTATATTCACGGGCTAAAGATGGAATTGCCTGACTTACATTCTGTAGCAGAATTTCATGCAGAGGTGGCTCAAGATTGTTCTCCACCACAAGTTAAAGACGTTATTACCTTAACTTATCATAACATGCTGTCTACTGTGGACTCTAATCGAAGCAGTATTTACTGGTCTCTAGTTATGTACAGCTAGTGCTGACCTTCATAACTGAGATAGTTTCCAGTTCTGCTACACCCTCACCAATCCAACCATGGCTATGGATATCCAAGTCACCTACCACCAAAATCTGACTATCCCATCTTACCCCCCCAGCCTTGATCTTTAATACAGGGAGTCATGTTTACCAACTCTAATTGGGAAAGGTGGTTATCCCCCTGTTCCCTAGATCTCTTTGGGGGTTGGCTTCCTCCCCATCTGCATGCTCATAAAAAGCCTTGGTACTTTCCTACCTCACAGATTTTCTGCAGCTTGACTTCTGACTTCTTGCTTAGAGATTCTTGCATATCCCTGATTACCAGATACTTGCAGATAAGCTTACCCAAACCTTTTCATAGGGGAACCCCCCCCCCCCCAAATCACCTCAAATTTTGTCCGTGCAGGTCAATTCCCCCTGCTCTGAAGTCTTGCTAGTGAGACTTAGTGTGGTGATCAATAGGGAGAATGGGGAGACTCTTAGAGGGTTGCCTTAGTTTCCCAGTGACATCACTTTATTACCCAGTGCTGCTTCAATGTGTGACTGGATTTCCAGTAAATCTTATTGACTTAATGGGTACTTTGTCTATCTCTTCTCCTCTTACATCTCTGGTTTATTCTCTTTCTGCAGACAGTCTTACCTATTTACAACAGGAACTCTTTCAGGAGCTTTTTTTTTTTTTTTTTTTTTTTCAGTCATCTTATCTTTGACTGCTCGATACTTCCTCCCTGGCCTACACCTGGTTTCTCTTCATTCCCCTGTGGGATTCCCTCTCTACTTCTACTTGGCTAGGTGGTTATTTGCCTCCCTTTATAGGGCTTTTGGCTTCAGGATCGAGCTTTAAAACAAGTAAGCATTATTTACCACTTGCTGACCAAAGACATACATAAGGGCCTTTAATTCTGAGGAGCAGGACAGATAAGTAGCACCAACCTTGCTTGATTCACAGCACTTTGTGAGTGTTCCAAGATCAATGACTAGTAATTAACATGATCCAGGTCTGCTGGGTAATAGTGCTTTCCAGAGTGTCAAAATTCACAGTTCCTGCAGCTATTAGTGATCTTACCTTGTCATGCTCTCCTACAATGACTTGGACTCAGAGGTAGCAACCAGTAAGAGATCCAGGGGACCATGTAGATTGATTCTCCCGAAATGTTGTTTCGGTGCGGACAACAGGGAACCGGTTTTAGGTGATCAGAACATAATTTGGTGCCCTCTCTTTACAGGCTTTAAGAACAAACAATACATACGCATAAGGTATGTGCAGGAATTTTTTTAGGCGAGTCAAGGATGGTGATTACACTCCCATACCTGCAGCTACCATGTAAACATTTCAGTCGCTGCCAAATATCATGCTGTCCTGAAAAGATTTGACACTTCCACTGCGATCAGCGGAAAGTGCTGATGACGTTGGCGAAGTCATGTGATCAGCTGTGTCCAATCACAGCTGATCACACGTAAATAAAGAAATGCCGGTTATCGGCATTCCTCTCCTCAGGAGCTGTCACGCTGACAGCTCGTGAGGAGAGGAGAGCTGGTAATCGACATTCCTCAGAAGGGACATCTACACTGATGATCAGTGTAGCCCCATCAGTGCCGTCTGTCAGTGTCCATCAATGCCACATACCAGTGCCCATCTGAGCTGCCTTTCAGTGCCAGTCAGTGCCGCCTATGAGTGCTGCCAATAAGTGCCACCTATCAGTGCCAGTCAGTGCCATATATGAGTACTGCCTTTCAGTGCCCATCAGTTATGTCTGTCAATGCCCAGCCACCTACCAGTGCCTCATCAGTGCAGCCTATCAGTGCCCATCACTGCAGCCTCATTAGCGCACATCGTTGAAGGAGAAAAATTACTCATTTACAAAATTTTATAACGGAAATTCATTTAAAAAAAATTTTTTTTTCTAAATTTTCAGTTTTTGGTTTGTTTAGCAAAAACTAAAAAACCCAGTGGTGATTAAATACCACCAACAGAAAGCTCTATCTGTCTCAAAAAAATTATAAAAATTTCATATGAGTACAATGTTGCATGACCGCGCAATTGTCGTTCAAAGTGCGACAGCGCTGAAACTGAAAATTGGCCTGGGCAGGAAGGGGGTAAAAGTGCCCGGTAGGCAAATGGTTAATTAGGAATTTCTAAGTGAGTGTTTGGATCTGCTGCTGCCCTTGCAAAACTGTATTGGCATTCTGACAAGCATGTAGTCATTTTACATTTAAAAAAAAAAAAAAATTGTAAATAATGGTAATGAATCTTGAATACCCTTTCTGACACTTTGTGGTAACAGCTGGTTTATGATTTTGAATTGTTTCCTTTATTGATTTATCTTACAATTTTTAATTGTGATACTACACATTTTATGGGGATACTTATTTTTTGTGTTCAATTTATACAAATCTGTTATCCAGGTATACTATTTTCGCCAAGGTCATGAGGCATATGTTGAAATGGCCAAAAAGAATAAAATATATCGGATAAATGCCAAGAAACAACCCTGGCATAAAATGGAGTTGAGGGTAAGTTTTTAAATTCACTCATTTGCACAGTTCATAGATACCTTTTCTTAGTAATACAAGACTCAGCAACTTTAGTCTTTACCATGGGTTAATTGTAAATAACTTTCAATGATTTGACACTGGCAAAAAGCTGCTGGGACATCCACTGTATAACCCCTCCTATTCCCAACAAGCCTCCTTTTTTTTCTAGTGTCCTTATATGATGGGCACTCTCTTTCTGAGTCAAGCTTACCTTCTTCTGTGGAAGTTTCTCTTTTGATGATTCTTCCATAAAGATCTCTGACTGTACCATGGCGACTGTGGCTCTTACTGGACTGACTCCACCGCTGTGCCTTGCTGGACCAGACCCCACAGGATTTAAGACACAAGGACGACCTGGTTTGTTGCTGTTGAATCCTGCCTGAGCGGTCACCTTGGCACGTAGTCATATACATTCAGGTCACTTACTGATCTTTCACACATTGCATTCTTCCTCAGTTGGGTGCGTATTTGATGCAGCGGTATCTCTCAATCTCCCTCTTTTTCTCCATTAGAGGCCTTCCTTTATTTCTGTACAGCAGCAGAGGTAATAGGTACCCCTCCAGGGGCCTTTTCTGCTGCACATGGCAGATCCCAAGGTATAGAAGGGGTCAGATGGCCTTGCTAACTCAGACTCAGGCCTTGGCTCCAAGGGAGGTAGTAGTCAATCTCCACAGGGGCTTAGCACCTATACCCTTCCTCCTGTTTGTCAGAAGAGGATTTTCTGCCACAATGTAGGAAACTCCTTAAATGGCTACCCTTTGAAGGTGAACATCTGTTTGGTCCGTCCTTAGATAAGTATATCAAGCGGATGCGATGCGATTTGAGCCATACAAAATGTGTGGCTCAAACTGCACTGCACAGACATTTTGCATGTAATTCACACAGGGAAGCGGTGCGATTCCTGTGCGAATTACATGTGGTGTTCCACACTGCATAGTGTGATCCGGGCTCATGGTTTGTGTATTTGGTGCCTTAAAAATCCACAAATTCCTTTTTTTTTTTCCAAATAACCTATTTTTGGATGTGGTACCTCTTCACCATCACAGGTTATCAAAACAATGACTGGAAAACCTGGAACAGAGGGTACACCAGCCTTGCACATTACCTCTGTGACAGCTTTATAGTATGAACAGAATCAACATATACTCACAAATTACTCATTGATAAAGGCACATCAATGTCCACAATGCACTCAAGGTGACCTGGTCTCGTAAGCAAGTCCCAACTACAGGAAGACCATCCAAAATGCTGATGCATTTCGAGGGGGGGCCCTCTTCCTCAGAGCCAGAGTTGGACTGCTTTTGGGGTGTCCCATGGTAAAGACTAGAGACCCTGTGTCCTTTTTACTGTACTGCAGGAACAGGACTGCCAGTCAGAAATCCTATATTTTTTTTCATACAATGCTTTACATTATGTTTTTAAAGGTTTAAAGCAGACTGTATCTGAGCACCACAAATGGCAAACATTTATTTTTAATATTGAAAGCAAACTCCGCCGTCTAGCCATGTCTCTATGCTTTGTGAAATCACTTCTAGCACTCTACTTGTATTTCTAGCTCCAGTCATTTTAGGTAAGAGCAGATGATTCATGAAGCATTTACTTCCTGGAATCCATCTGCCCTTAACTCAAGCATGCAGGCGGGAAGGTGTGCTTAGCTGAGAGAGCCCCTCCTCTAGATAAAAGAAAAAAAATGTCCAAGACTCCTGGAATGTATAACATCATGTTGGCCTAGGCCAGAAACCTGGAAGCAACTGAAGAAATGTTGAAAAAAGTTTAAAACAAGTAAATATAATATACCTTCCTATCTATTTAATAATGCTAGCAGCAGAAGTTTTAAAATAGTTCATGTTGACTGAGATTATTTCATTCCATTTTATGGTAACAGAATTGAAGATATCCACTAGCATGGCAGCATGGTGGAGAGCAGCATTTTTTTTTAAATATGGCACCTGCCTTTTTTTTCTTCTATTGAGTGCAGGTTCACATATATGCGGTTTGGATGCAGTTTAAACCATGTCGGATCCGCATTACATGTGACATAACATTGTTTCCCATAGTACCTGTGCACATATTTCCAATGCACTGGCAGTGCGGATTGAAAGAGTCATGTCCAATTTTTGAGCAGCGCAGTCCCGTACAGGTGCGGATTACAGGCTACTGACTGCTATGGGAACAGAATTGTGAACAGAATTGATCTGTTATACTGTGGCAGGATGGGTTGAATCCCTCAACAGATCTCTCCCACAATAACCCATCCTAATAAAGCGCATGTAGCAATTGTCCGGAGTCTGATGGTTATGGTGCTGGGAGATTTATGCGATATCTAGGGGAGTACCTGACTCACTTAATCTTTGAGGGTCTCCAAGTCTTCAAACCTACTCTTGATGTAGTCATCAGGGGTATCATGGGGGCATCAGAATGTAAAATTTGCTTCAGAATAAGAAGTCCTTAGGTTAGCATAGTCTCATTCTTTTCCTATTTCTACTTCTAGAGTAGATTTATCCAGGCAATTTAAAATATTAACAGCAATTAAAACAAAGAAACATATTATACTTACCTGCTCCTTGCAGTGGTTTTGCACAGAGCAGCCCCAGTCCTCCTCTACTCTGGTCCACCGCTGGCACTCCTGGTCCCTCCCTCATGCCAAGTGCCTCCAAAGAAAGCAGCTTGCTATGGGATACCCAAGCAGGTGCGCTGCTGAGCCGCTGCTCTGCTTGTCTGTTCACACACTGCCGTGTCTTGATCCCGCCTCTCTCCCTCCTCATTGGTGCATTGGCAGTGATTGACAACAGCGGGAGCCAATAGCTGTCTCAGCTGTTGCGGGTCTAGTTCCTGAGCAGGCCTGCCTACCTCTACGGAGCAGATTGTTCCTCACCTGATCACTCAGGTTTGTTTTTGTTTTTTTTTTTACTACAGGATAACTCTTAAAGTATATGTAAACTCTCACCTTGTAAAGAAATTCAGTTCACCTACCCTCTGTTCTTAGCTGCATAAGGAGCTCAGAGAGCTGGGGGAGGAGAAACAGTAGTATGCTGATCATCCCACTGAATGGATGTAGAGTAGGACCTGTCCGCACAAGTCTGATCTTTGGAGTACAGGCTGAGTTCCCAGCACAGTTACAAAAAACTGACCACGTCATGCTCTCATGCATAGCATGGTCAGTTTTTAATAGAAATGCAGGGGGACTGGCAGGATCACCAGGTATTTTACACAAAGGAAGCAATACAAAGAGAACAGGATACTTTTTTCATACAAGTAAATGGTAGAGAAAGCACACATCAGGAATATGCAATGTTGGGTTGACATATTCTTTAAGGCTTGTCCCAGAGGTGTCTGTAGCATTACTGGTGAGTGTGCCTTGCTTCATTCTCAGCGACATTAGGGTTGTAATCCGTCCTACCAATTCATGATTGGTTTCTATCTTTCTCCATTTCATTTCTCAGCTGAAATGGCCTATACCAAACCACTAAAGTGACAACGCCCTCAAAAAAGTGGTTGTGGAACATAGAATGGCTGAGATAGGCAGATGCTGTTAAGCTGTGAGGGCAGGGAATCCCTATAAAAGATGTGACAGAAAATGACCAACTGGTCTGTCCCTTTTAAACACTGCCAAAGCTTGTATATCACCCCATTAAAGGAATAAAAAAAAGTCTTGATGCCACACTGTGCTTTAAAACCCCACAACACAGGGAATATAAGGGGCTGCGACAAGTCCCCAAATAGTCACCAGTTCATGCTGCAAGGCCTAGTGGCCTCAAACTTCACCCATCATGGCGGGCACTTTTTGCAGGGCCTTCAGTGACTCGACTACCCTCCAGGAGGGTACGCTGAATGTCGGAGGTCACTGCCCACAAGATCTAGTGTGGCAGACATTACTGGCCATCTCTACTGTTTTATGTGGGATATGTGTACAGTTGCTCTTGTCCTGCTGGCCGTGATGACCTTTCCGGATAGGGCCTGACTCGAGTCTTGGATCTTATGAACAGGCCTGGAAATGTAGGAAAGTCCCAAAAAAAGAGATCTTCAGAGAGACTCGGGAAAGCATCCATCAACACTACAAGAAAATGAAAGCTTAGCTGAGCTTGCAGGAGATTATGCCTGTTTGGGAATTCCTAGCCAGTATCTATTTGCCTGAAAGTGTCAGCATAACCCATGTAGTAATAACTATTAACTCCTGTGTGTCCCGTGATGTATGATTAAGAAAAATACTTCCTGATTCCATATTCATTCTCTATGTATTAGAGAATGCATATGCGTGTATTTTTTGCTGTCCAAAAAATGTTATAAATTTCTACTCTTAAATTAATTGCTTTCTGTTCCCAAAGGAACAAGAACTTATGAAGATAGTTGGGATTAAATATGAAGTGGGTTTACCAACCCTTTGTTGTCTTAAGCTTGCTTTTCTTGACCCTGATACTGGCAAACTGACTGGAGGAGCATTCACAATGAAGTGAGTAAAGGAGTTCGTTTATTGGTTTGTATTTTTTGGGTTGGTAGGGGAAAATTAGGTTTTATTTTTATTTGAGTTTTACAGTGAAATGAGCATAGTGGGCGGATACCTGTTTGTCTGCATGCATTTGTGATCGGATTTCACTTGTATTTGTTTTTATATGGACAGTTTGAAACACTGAAGAAAATGGTGGACAGCAAGTTCTTCTTAAATTTATTTGGTGACATTGAATAAGTTTCTTACAAGGTTACTGAACAATGGATTTCATTTGTTAAAGGGTCTGCAAGAAGAACAGTTGGTGTTGCCCATAGTAATCAGATTTCTGCTTTTCATGGTAATGCACAATATTAAAATAGAGGGATAAGCCCCTGGTTGCTATGGCAAACATTGCACATTCATTCATGTACTTTTACTCAGGAAACTAATAGAAGTGAGGTTATCTGCTATTGAGTTTCTTAATGTAGTGAATATTCAGATTTGGTATGTATACAAAAAGCTTATGAGCACATACTGTTTTCTCACAGGTATCACGACATGCCGGATGTAATAGACTTTTTAGTACTTCGACAGCAATTTGATGAAGCAAGACGTAGGCATTGGAGCATTGGTATGTACAAAAAGCTACTCAAAAAATTGTGAGAGAAAATATAATGGATATGGAAGTGCATCAATTAGTGAATTAATTGTGGGAGGATGTTATAGCCCCCCTAACATAAGTGGTGAGGAAAATGGTCAACTCCTTTCAAAGAATGAAAGGCTCAAAAACAGGGCAATGTTATTGGTGGAGGCATGCATTGTCCAGATGTTGATCAGGCCAATAGAGCAGCACACTTAATAAAAGGGTGTCTGACACAAAACTGTTCTGAATTAAGTTCAAGAGCAGATGGTTGAAGCTCCAAAAAGAAAGAGAGAAATGCTCTGTTTGATCTATTAATCTCAAATAAAACTGAGATCGTTATAGACTTTCAAATAAGTTACAACAGAGCGGCACGTTGGTATAATAAGCACTGTAATTAAAAAAAAAAAAAAAATACGAACTACAATAAGCTGCACTCCTTACACTGTGATTTTCAATGGGGCAAGTTGTTCTCAACCAGGAGGACAGGACAAATGGTGCTTTAAGAACATATTAAACTGCTTTTGTCAGTGTTTTCCAGTAGGTAAGAAATGTTAAAGAACAAAATTAACACATGCGGCTAATTTAACGTTTAAAAAAAAAAAAAGAAAAAAAAAAGCAAAGTAATAAAAATGGCCTTCAGAAAATACAAATTTGGCATTCCAGCGCTACAAAGAATGCAGCAAGAGAAAAGAGAGAAGAGTCAGGGCATTCATAAAAGAGTCCAAAAAACACATTGCCACAGTTGGTAAAACAAACACCTTCAAATACATCAAATGTAAAAAGTTGAAGACAGACCATGTAGGTCCCTTAAAAGATGAACATGAGAAGTTGGTCTCAAATGTCAGGTAGATGGCAGATGTATTAAAGTGGAGTTCCAGCCTAGAACTAAGCGTAAAGTGAAGGTAAACCTCTTCTGGGGTCTTCTGCCGGTGTTTTAGCTCCTTCTCTTTGCCCCCAGAGCAAGCTGGGGGCACAGCTGCGGGCTCGATTCTGTACCTGGCTGTTTGCATCTGTTGACACACACAGGATGGCTCAGCCCACCTGCCTCTCCAACTTGTCCGGTCAGAACTTTTTGCACCCATGCAGAAAATGCAAAGCATTCTTTGAATGCCAGCCAACCTCCTGTGCTCAGAATGCATCAGGCCAGCTGCTCAGCATGGGACCTGGAAGCAAATGGAGATTGCTAGAGTAAGGGTGTGATTCAGTGATTTCCAGCTTCCAGGGTCATCGGCCATGTATGGTATTTGCATAGTTGCATTGGTTCAAGCTGGACCTATGTAACTATGTATAAAATTTTCATACATGGAATTCCTCTTCAAATATATTTTTTCTTTGGTTTCTACAAAGGAAAATTACTGGATTGCTAGTTAGAACATTAATGCGAATGCCAATGTACTGAATGTACCTCTCTGTGGGAGACAAAAAATTAGGGTCCAAACACTAGAAAAACTTACAAACACTAGAAAAACTTACGAGCGTAAATAGCGGGGACTAGCTAACACCTAGGAGTCCTTAGGGAACTTAGCTATTTTATTGTCAAGCCTGTAGTAATGTTTTAAGACCCCTTTCTTTCTGGAATAGTACTGGTTGATTGGCGTAAAACAAAAGTGGAGATACCAATATTAAAAAAAAGGGTCAAAATGTTTACTGGGAAGCTACTGACCAGACAGCCTTACATCAATAGTATGCAAAGTATTTGAGAGAGTGATGATTTATGAAAGGGTGCTCTTTTAAGGACAACCTGTTGTTCTGTGAGGAAGTGACTAGGAATTTAGAGGAAGGCCAGTGCATGCAGTATATATGGAGGGATCGTGCAGGGTTTTGAAACATTTGTTCTCTCTGATAGTTTTGATTGGCGTTGAAGAAATTGTATGTACATAGGAAAACTAGGTTACATAAACAGGTCCAGAGAGTTGTAATAAATACTCATTTTCCAAATGGTTTTAGACTGTGAGCAGTGTGTCCCACAGTTTTGTTTGAACCTATGCCTGGTTTAAATGTTTTAATGATATTGAGGTTGGAATGAAGAGCTCAATTTAAGTGGTTGTTGAGGATACCAAACTATTCAGAGAAAGAAATAGGCTATAAAGGATAAAGCACTGTTAAAGAAAGACCTTTATAAAATATGGGGGCCTAGGCAGCGAAATGGCAGATAAGATTCAAAATTGAAAAATATGAAGTTATGCACTTTTGCTAAAAAAAAACACATACAACATACACTATAATATTGCCTAAAGTATTGGGATGCCTGTCTTTACACGCACATGAACATTAATGACATCCCAGTCTTAGTCCATAGGGTTCAATATTGAGTTGGCCCACCCTTTGCAGCTATAACCGCTTCAACTTTTCTGGGAAGGCTGTCCATAACGTTTAGGAGTGTGTCTGGGAATGTTTCACCATTTTCCAGAAGCACATCTGTGAGCTCAGGCACTGATGTCGGACAAGAAGACCTGGCTCGTAGTCTCCATTCTAATTCGTCCCAAAGGTGTTCTGTTGGGTCGAGGTCAGGACTCTGTGCAAACAAGTCAAGTTCCTCCACCGCAAAGTCGCTCATCCATGTCTTTATGGACCTTGCTTTGTGCACTGGCGAGCAGTCATTTTGGAACAGGAAGGGGCCATCCCCAAACTGTTCCCCAAGTTGGGAGCATGAAATTGTCCAAAATGTGTTGGGACGCTGACTCCTTAAGAGTTCCCTTCATTGGAACGATGGGGCAAGCCCAACCCCTGAAAAATAAATCCCCCCTCCACCAAACTTTACACTTGGCACAATGGAGTCAGGCAAGTACTGTTCTCCTGGCAACCGCCAAACCCAGACACGTCCATTAGATTTCCAGACAGAGCAGCGTGATTCGTCACTCCAGAGAACACGTCTCCACTGCTCTAGAGTCCAGTGGTGGTGTTCTTTACACCACTGCATCTGACGATTTGCATTGCACTTGTTATGTAAGGCTTGAATGAAGCTGCTTGGCTATGGAAAACTATTCCATGAAGCTCTCTACGCACTGTTCTATTCTGAAGGCCACATGAACTTTGGAGGTCTTTAGCTATTTATTCTGCAGACAGTCCGTGGCTTCTGCGCACTGTGATTTGCAGCATGCGCTGACCCCGCTCTGTCATTTTACGTGGCCTACCACTTCATGACTGAGTTGCTTTTGTTCACAGTTGCTTCCACTTTGTTATAATACCACTAACAGTTGACCGTGGAATATTAAGTAGCAAGGAAACTTCATGGATGAAGTTATTGTAAGGGTGGCAATCTTATCATGGTAACACTCTTGAATTCACTGAGCTGAAAGCGACCCATTAAACACTCCCCCGGAAGAAGTCGTATGACAAAACGCGTTAGGGTGTGGCTATCCGGTGACTTCCCCAAGCACGCCGACTCTTGGCTCCGGACCACGTGATTGCAACAGCGCCATCTTGGTTGCAGGCAGGCTGGTGAGACGCTGAATAGAGAGCTCTGTGCTCTTGTGTAACAAATGCTGTTTTATATTATTATATTCATTGTGAGTGCGGTTTTAAGGGGGGAATTGATTGGAATAAATTTGAAAACATTATTTGCACTATGGCGAATGTCTTTTTTATCTACATGGTTACTGTGGAGTATTACGGATATCCATAAGCTGGAACTCAGTGGTGGAGTGCTGGTTATATACAGATATGCTGGTTTTTCACCAGTATCTGGTGAGTGTGTATTTTGATGGGGTGTTTAAAGCACTGGATGTCACATTGGTGAAGGAAGATATCATAACTTCATTTATTGAGGATCATATTGGAATATATATGGACTTTTGTGAATGGACTTTATAAGGGTTTATTTATTTAAGTAATGGTGTAATATTTGTGCACATGCACGGTGGTGGATTGATTTAATTAATGTTATTTATCTATTCATTTAATTATTGAGGTGTAGGGGTTGCGCTATTATTTGTGGTTTTTATTTATTTTTTTTATTTATCACAAAGTATGGATATTAATTTAGTGGATATATAATAGCAGCACCTATCTGAACTCAAATATCAACATTTAAATATCAATATTTATATACATACGCGCAATTATTTAATCTGGATGGTGGTTTTGGAAGAATTCAGACACCATTTAAAGGTTGAATTATAAGCATTAAACACAAATGTTTGTAGAAGCAGTCTGCGTGCTTGATTTTATACAGCTGTGGCCATGGAGTGAATTGGAACACCTGAATCCAGTGATTTGGAGCGGTGTCTCAGTACTTCTGGCAATATAGTCTGTTTTGCAAGGGATCCTCTGGATGATTCTATAATAGAGAAGAATTTAGGGGTCCTTGTAGATTAGACTTGGCAATAGAACCAATGCAAAGCTGCAACTAACAAAGCTAGTAGAATAAACCTATGCATTAAGGCTATTGTCATGCTGATCTGTTTTTGCTACGTTTGGGGTGCATTTTTTACAGGACATGTAACTCAAAAATCACACCAAAAACGCAACGTGGGTGTGTTTTTTGATGCGTTTTTGACACGTTTATTTCAATGGGGGAAGTACGTTTTTTTTTTTTTTTTTTTTTTTTTTTTTTTTGTTTATGCACCAAACCTGCACCAGAAATGCCACTAGTAGGATTTTAAAAATTGCACTGCACCCGCAACGGATCAGTGTGAAGAGTTCCAAAGGAATACATGGTCATGCGCTTTTTTTCCACAAAAGCGGAAGAAAAACGTATCAGTATAAAATCAGCCTAAAAGGGGCATAAATTCAAGAGCTAAATCAACAATTCTACCCTTTTATAAAACTGGTTTGGCCTCACCTTGAATGTGCAGATCAGTTTTGTGCACAAATCCACAGGAAGCATGTTCCTGAAGTAGAAGGAATTCAGCAAAGGTGAACAATATTGTGAACAGGGTTGGACGAACTCACCTTTTGAGGAGCAATTACAAGGATTAGTTCTTCAGTATGCAGAAGAAGAATTTGAGGGGATATGATCACAATGTACAAAATATATCACAGGTATT